TAATAGATTACAGATGACGTCACAACGTGGTAAGAACAAAAAAGTGGCATTTGAGGCGGAGCTGAGTGTGTCACTGATGTTCTCACCACATTTTGACGTGTTCTGTGATCTTTTATTGTGCAAAACCATGGCAACCAAATCTTTTGTTGACGTCATTTGCCTGTCTGTCCTTGAAAAGATTATAAGTTAGAACCCATCAAAACACGTGTATAATTCAACTCAGTATATAAAATACCTGTTGGTCAAACGTTATGTTAAAGTCCACAAATCCAAACCACCACGGCCATGACAAACGAGGAACCACAGGAACACGGGAGTACAATAACGGATTTGGAGTGCTGTCTGAAAAGAATCACATTGAAAGGACATTAGAATCAGGCCTGCAGTGCATGAGAATTTTTCGCGTATGAATTCGAATCAACTGTTTAATTTCAGACACGGAGTAACCAGCAGAATACTATTAAAAATGCAAGCTTACTTGATCCGACGATAATAGTGATACATCTTTGCTTGCTTTCAATTCTGAAATGCGAATTGTTGCTCATAAATAAGATTACATCAAAGTAGACATTTAAGAAAATCGTTGAGTCTTATTGAGCCAGCCCGGCAGTAGCAGATCCAGAACCTGAGCTAAGGGAGGGGACCTGTTTTTTTTAGCTTGACCTGCCGGTTTTTCTTCCTTCTGCGATTCTTTCTTTTTTTTTTTTTTTTTTTTTTTTTTTTTTTTTTTTTTTTAACCCAAAATAAGGGAGGGCGGGGGGGGGGTCGGGTCCCCTGGGCTCCTCCCCTAGATCCATCACTGAGCCGTTATCCAGGAAACATGTGAGAAGTGAGAAAGACCTTGTATAGTCTGCAAATATGCATTAGTACCTTTTTTAAAGAAAAGCGAAGGCGATTTTATAACAATTTTGTTGAAGTGACCCACCCGAAGTTGTCAACTGCCTTGAAACAAAAGATATGTCGTCCTTTCTGAGACAATCGCGGATTCCACGACGCGTTCCTGTAGAATACTGTATCCCCGATCGAATCAGTGTAATTCAGGAGGCCAGAAATAACCATATAAAGTGGTGTGACAGTGATAATCTCTGCAATGCTAAAATAGAGTAGAAAAAATAAAAAATGAAAAGGAACTAAGCTTTCACATTCTTCCTTACTGATCAGGACTACTGTGAAGCTCAGGGCGGAAGGTGATTGGTTTACTTCAAAAAACACATGTTTGTGAGTTAGGCCGCCTTGTAGAGGGCTTGTACAATTTTGGACCCAAGATTTCAGATCAAGATTTTCCGTAACCTGTTTCACACTGAAATGCATCCAAACGCAATGGGTAAGTTGAGAATCTTTGTCTATTTCATTGCCTGCTTATAAAACACTGACATTAATTTGACGATGCACAAAGTAGGAGCATTGTTGTCAAAAAATGACCTCTTCCCTATCCTTCTCAGTTACAGAAAAAGAGATTGTTCTTATGCGTTCTGCAATATTTCAACAGAAGAATGCTCTGAAGTCTGATAAGCACATTCCTTTAATTAACCAATCAGGGCTTGCTTCAAACAGCTAAATTGAAAAAAAAGCAGGTGCAGTAAATAATGTTCAACTGAAAGTGTCACTATCATATCAACCTGATTTAGCATGTTAAGGGTACAGCAGTAACACATACCTTCTGGAGGAGTCGATATGTTTTGCTTCAATAACGCTGTTGAATGTGTTTCCATTTGACACTTCCTCACAAGATCCGTCGTTTGGACTTTGGCCTATTAGGACTGGAGCCCTATTACACGGCCCGGAAGATGGACTCACGTGTACAAGAAACTGCAGGCTCACATGACTGTATGGAGTGGCGCTTTGGAAGTTGGTCGTTGAAGCTGGGTAATCTTCTAAGGTAATAGCCACTGCATGCCAACCGAGAGCTATATTGCTAGGGAGACTCAAAGTGCATTTCCCCTTTTCACATCAAATAAAAAAAGTAACTTTACAACATGTAGAAAGATGCAATGCAACCAAAAAATAGCCTTTTTTATTTTAGAAATTCCCGACCAATCAAATTAAAGATGTTTCTTTGTGTTGTCACGATCGTGTGACCAAGATAAAAATTCGATATCATTTTGAAGTTAATGATGCATTGGTATTCTTGTGAGGATATGGTTGATCCGTAGGAGTACTGCAGTTGAACAATCGGCTTCCAAAACTTTATTATTCAAAAAAGCATTTAAACTTCCCTCCCGCAATACCTCTTTGAAAGAACAGGAGTACAACAGAAGCTTATTGAGCTCGGTGCTTGTAAGATCAAAGCATAAAAGAAGCAATGATAACATGTCGAAAAAGAGCAAAGACAAAAAAATTTTACAGTTTGCAATCGAAAAAGTTCAAAATTGTACGTAAAACCTTTGAAAAGGCAAAAGAAACTATGATTGAAGTTTCCTTAAAGTTCTTAACACGTCAGCTAAACTTACTTCGTCCAAAGCGCCGCTTTGAAAGCTTTGACATACACCACCACACTCTCTGTAATAGCCAATCGACCATCGACAGCGAACTTTATCACCATCCGAGTCCTCGGCGGGAATAGTGATTGTTTTTGGGCAGCCTTGCTGGTGTCGAACGATGGGAGCCATTGCTGAGATCGGAGATGAGTTGATTTTTCCGTCATCCTGCCGCCTTGTCAGGTTGACAGTGGTCGAGAGAAGCCAACTACTGCCTCCATTCGCTAATGAGATCCAACAGCAACTTGAATAACTGGATGCAGCGAAACACAGTTAGATTTTATCTGTTAACATATGACCTTTCATACTGACACTAATCGACTAACACTAAAAGCGAAGTTTAGCTCCAGTAGGAGACTTTGAAATAACTAGGAAATAGGATCGATTTCAGCTATAGGTATCATTAGAAATTTGTCACGAGTGATTCCCTTAAAAATATATACTATCCAGATTTTTTTTAATAGACACATATTATGGCTCTGTTTTGGAAATGGAAAAGTAAAGTAGAGTATGAAAACATCTTTTTTCCAACCTGTGTAAATGCTTTTCTCATTATTTGTTTGTTTTTTGATAATGATTTCCACAGGAAATCAGGACGGGCTACCGTCATTACCTTGTACCAACGAGGTTTCGTTTCTCGCGTATTTAGAATGAAATGTGTATGGTTAAATGCAGAGGAGTTGCTTAAACGACCACGATAGCTCAAAATTATTGACAAGTAAAAGCCATTTTGCTTGACTCACCTTATCAGCCAGGGTCCTTCATCCGAGAAAGTATACTCAAAACTGTTTTCCCCTTGTGTCCAGTCCTCCTGAACACTGAAATCGGTGCAATGATATCCCGTGTCTGCCACAGTAAAGCTTAAATAATATCTTTTGTCGTGACTTGCTCTCCAGCTGTCTCCACTTCCTACGATGCTTTGATTTGCGACCATCGAGTTGTCGCAGTAATAAGAATTGGAAAAGGATCTTCGGAAGCCCAGCCGAAAGTTAAAAAGCACCTGAAACAAGTTCAAACTTTCATCCATACTGGACATGTTTCCATTAAAACGCCTCTCATTGGTCCTCTTACTGCAGCTTAAATAAGCTTAAAAGTGACAAGGTTCCAGTCCACGCAAACTTTGTAAACCTGATTACTAGATTAATTTGTAAGAGATGTAGATATGATTGTTGCTGGCTATAGAATAAACTAGGAATTTATTTACTGAGAAAAAGCCGCCAGAAGGTAAATTGAAATTTAACTAAGAGTCTTTTAACTTTTGAATATTTAAACTGAGTAAGTTTTACCGTCGTCAGCCTTTGAATGAATAACAAAACCAATTGTGACAATGATTTTAAAAATATCTTACAATAAGAAATATAATAGATTTTGAGCTCGGCAATGAAAAAGAATTTATTTTTTCGCTTAAGCGCAAAAATGGGACAAACAAGGTCCCACAAAGGATCGAACTTCAGGAAAGTTCCGAAAGGATCGGAACGGATTGGAGCGCGGAATCCGAAGGTCCGAGGTATGATTGCCTATGAGGACTCAGAATTTTCTCTTTTCTCCACGCTCGTGAAAAGACGAAAAACATCTATCTCTATAAATATATTAGTCCCTAAATAACCGCACAAATAAGTCGAAGTAAGGTTTCAGAGGAACGATATTGCAAATACGAGTTAATATCAGACTGGCAAAAGTTAAATCAAGGTTTATAGCTCTTAAAACGTTAGGTAAGGGAAAGAGTATAAACACAGCTGCGCAGCCAGAAGCATTCAGAACTTTGAACAACACACAAAGTTTTAATATTTCAAAGTTTACTCTCCTCTCGAAATTTAAAATTTACATAGGTGCGTTTACATGATAATATGGTCAATAGAGACTAAAGTGACAAGTGTAATTAGTAAATTTTTAAGGCCTTCAGATATCTTTCCACCCTTAATAAACAATGATATAACACAAACTCGTTTGTCGAATTCCGAGAAAACACGGAAGTTACACCCTGGGTTTAAAGAACTCTGTGTGGCCACGCATTTTTCTTAACCATTTACCTATTAACACTTTTTAGCAGATTAAGCAGACTGAAGGAACCAGCGAAGGAAAACTTTTCATCCATCTTACGATGAATACGATGGTAAAATATGAAATTTTTCGACAAATTCTATGCAATAACTTACTGCGCTAAGCATTGTTTGCTTTAACAAAGTACACAAATCATCAAACAGTTTTGCCACGGTTTTATCATCTAATCGAGTAATAAATGAGGCTTAAGTAATAAAAAGGAATTGCGATTTGTAACTGTCATCTTCGCATTTTGTCTACATAATTGTTAATACTTTAAGAAAATTTGAGATATAGCTCTTTCGTATTACATGCGTTACTCTACAATTACTGGCGCTATACATCTACAATCATGCGCTCGGCATTCTTTAAATTCTTGTGAAACTAGTTGTAATGTAGAGCAATGTTGGCGAAACTTTTAGACATAAAAGAAGAGTTAAATCTAGGGTGAATAATTACTTGAAAGCAAATTTAGCTCCCCGTTATTCGTTATTTTCAAAGCGACGATTTTCCTTCCTAAAGTTTTGAAGAATGCTTCTTGATCGCAGGGAAAGAAAATCTTTAGTTCAAAGCTACTCAAAGCTCAAATTGAATCTATATGACATAGTTATTTCCCCCCGCAAACTTTAGAGAAAAAACTGATACGAAGTGAGATTTCAAAGGAAAAATAATTCAAATGCAGGTTAGTCAGGATGAAATTAAATCATTTTTTAAAGTTCTTTAAAGGTTGAGAAAAGAGGGCGGAATTAAAACTCTAGCGCAGCCGATAACATTCAGAACTGTTTTCAAAACAACGTTTGAATACTTCAAAATTTTCAGTCGCTTTTAGCGATAGAGATTGATAATGTTGCATTTGTGCAATAAATTTTTAATAGAAACCAGAGTGACTAGTGTAATTAGCATATTTCAAAGCTTTAAGATACCTTTCCTTAATAAGTAAATCAAAGTCGTAAGGACATTTCCGAGAAAACCCGGAAGTTATTTCCGGAGTTTGAAGTAATCTGAGTGGTGAAGCCAATGCCTTAGCTATTCAAATACTAATGATTTTTAACAGATTTAGCAAACTAAAGGTACCAGCGTTTGCAATTTAATTAAATGTGATGAAAGATACGAAATGTCTATACAAATGCCATGCTATGACCTATTGGGCTTAACCTCGTTAGTGTCTCCTAGATACGAGTTTTGTCAATCAGTTAAATCGATAAATGTTTAATAGAAACCAGAGTGACTAGTGTAATTAAAATATTTCAAAGCCTTAAGATACCTTTCCGTAGTGAGCAAACGTTCAAGTACATCAAAGTCGTTGAGATATTTCCGAGAAAACCCGGAGGTCATTTCCGGAGTTTGAAGTAATCTGAATGGTGAAGCCAATGCCTTAGTAATTCAAATACTAATGATTTTTAACAGATTTAGCAAACTAAAGGTACCAGTGTTTGCAATTTAATTAAATGCGATGAAAGATATGAAATTTCTATACAAATGCCATGCAATGACCTATTGGGCTTAACCTCGTTAGCGTCTCCTAGATACGAGTCTTGTCAATCAGTTTGCCAGTGTTTTATCATCTAATCGACTAATCATACGCGCTTGATTAGAAAAATTTAGCGATTTTTGTTGCTGCAAACTTTGTATCCCGTCTACAAAATCGTTGATATTTTGTAGAATAACGATAAATTGCCCTTCCGAAATAATGCGCTAAGACGGCACACTATTTTCAATTAATCATGCGCTCCACATTCCTCAAATTCTTGCAAAACTAGTTAGCGAAACCATGAACTCCGAGGGGGAAGAAATATTTAGACAAATAAGTTGCACTAAATCTTGGTTAAATAGGCGAGCCTGAAAAGCGTAACAAATCTTGCAAGGGCAAATCCCCCCCATAATCGTTATTTTAAACACGAGTTTCCTTTTCTCTTATCACGTTTTGTTCTAAGCTATTACACCTTTAAATTTTAGTCTAATAAATAATAATTTTCCCCACCACGAACTGCACAACCTATTGAGCTACAGTAGAGAATAATCAATCTGCACTAGTGATATCTTTTTGCTGACACGTACATTGTTTCTAGAATATCACCTAGTACACCCTCGTAATTTCCTTTCTCACCTCGCTCGAATTATTCCCGCTTGGCTTCCAAGTGATGATCCCGCCGCGAAAATGCGACGCTGTCGTCTGCCGTGAAAACGTCACTACGATAAGGGACAGAATCAAAGAAGAAAGCATTGTGCTAAATGATTCAGCAGCAACCTACAGCTGCAAAGAACTGGAGCGCTCTGAAGTTAGGCGTTGGCTGACATTGGGTTCTTGTTTGTTTAGTTTGTTTATATTTTAACAGTCCGGGTCATAACCATTTCTGGATACTTGATGACGTCACCAACATGGATATCGTAGTGGGACCTCGAGGAAACTCAATCATTACTTTACTCGAGCCCTAGCGACTTTGTTCCCTACCCATATCCCATGAAACGTTGCAAAATTACAGAAGACAAGCAATTACACACAACAAGCAAAGAACTGATGGTGGTCGCGATGACGAGAAGGAAAAATGCAGATGAAAAGTCGGGTGGAGGTCCATGTTGCGAAGGGCTCGATCGAGGAATAACCTCTCTTAAGTTGAGGTTTTCAGGTATGCAACTTTTTTTTGATTCCTAAAAAAAAATCTTTTAAAAAACTAGAATAAATTTGCTTCCAATTTGTCAAAATTCCAATCGAGTGCACGAGGTTTTTGCTCGAGTGCACGAATGTTGGAAGTCCGTTAGTGTGCAAACTACTAGACGGATTCCTTTGTTCAGATCCATCGGAGCATCGTGTAAACCATAAATTTTAACCATACGTTGTGGCCGGCCAATTTAAAGTAAAAGGACAATTATTTATCGGACCTTTATAAGCCTACATTTTGAATTTCAGATGAAGCCAACAGCATGGGTGAACACATTCAGTATCTCGAGACACTGTCGTCTTTGTGGCACAAATCTGCCACGGACTTGGGTCAGTGCTACAAACAAAGAATCTTTTAAATCGGAGCTCTGGATGAAATTTCGAATCAATGTCGATCTTTACATCAGAGAGATTCATTCAGCCAAGGCGAATGCACACTAAAAAATAATTTCAGGAAATCACGGATCTAACACATAAATGTGATTATGCAGCGAGTAAGTTCTCCTTCGGGCAAACATAAAACAAAGAGGTATTCATTCACTGAGCTCTCACATCTTCAGGTATCGTATCCGGGAAATGTGCGATAAGAGCGGCATGAAGGTGAAAATAAAGAAATCACATTGGTGGAAAGCCTTGCCGAAGTGTCTCTATTACAGCATTCCGGAAACAAAGGTTGGAGTTTAACTACACGAACTGATGAGAGTGAAATTTTCGTCTAAAACCACAAGGGACTTGTCTGTAATTGTGAAACTCGTTTAGAAACACCGCTCGTGCTTTCACATTTTGCAGTGATTACCTAAACAAACTTTCTATACAGGGTGTTCAAATCAAAGGGTAATTGTAAAGGACACATTATTGCTGACTAAAAGCTGTAGGACCGAATTTGTAGTGTTCTGAGACCTAGATTCTCCCGCGAATCGATCAATAGCGTGCAAAATACCTTGTATGATTCTCTTGCATTGAATTCGATCATGTGTATTCGTCTTAATATAGACTGTGACTACTTGCTTTTATTTTATCCCGCTCATGTATTTATTGGCATTTACTTTCCAGGTATCATAATTTCAAGATCAAAGCTCCACGTGGAACACCGCTTGTTATTCAAAGTGAAGACGACAACACGTATGACTCGCATGCACTGGCTTGTCTTCTTCCACGAGAAATGGAACGCATTCCAGAGGCTCTACGAGAAGTCCAGATTTTCAGCAAATCGCAGAGAAAGACATACACTTTAGGAGATGTCAAAGGGCAGCAGATCGGCACAGTTCAGCACTTTATAAACATACAGCTGCATGCTTTGCTCCGATGTGGCAAAATAACTAGGAATTGAAGGGTAAGTTACTGTTTTCTTGCTTTACTGTTACTTTTTCGTAAAGGCTTGATGGACTGAAATTAATAATGTCTATTAAAAAATCGGAGAGAAGCAAGATATTGTCTTTCCTCGACCTATACTGGAGAGAAATGAAATTGTCCCGATTCCGCGATCTCACACCTCACTCGTCCCAATTGTTATCAGTGGGTGTTATTTGGTTAAACCTTATTTAATTGGTTTTCTTGTAACCCAAAATAGGGAAATCAACGGAGAACGGACAGTAACATCGAGGCCAAGCTCCACCCAGAAGTTCTCCAGATACAAACAGGCTGGCGGAGGAGCTTTTATTCCTGTGACGCTCTTGGTGGAAGGACCTCAGCGTTACAAAGAATTTGTGCGAGAAAAAATGCGCTTTACTATTCCAGAATGCGAGGATGTCGAGGAGATGCATGTTGAATGTTTGAAATAAACGAATATTTTTAATGGTATCTTACTAATGATATTGAATCGATAATCTTGAGTGACTTTCTTAGTCATGGTAATTATATATGGAGTTATTAAAAAAAAAAACATGAAACCACAAACAACCCCTGACACTCGATAAATTGTGTTATAACTTCCTCAGGTTATAGGGATCAGACCGTAAATGAGGGAATTTGTTTGAACTTTTAGTTCCGGCTTTAGGATTTGCGCTTTTGAATATCTTTTCAAAGTCAAAGAGTTTGTTGTTAACGAATAGCTCATAAGCATTGGAAATATCAGTCAAGGCCCAATAGAATAGAGGGACCATGGCCTGAAAGATCCCCAAAAACTGCATTGATCAATCGGTCAAGTTTCGAATTGTGCTTGGTTGTCTCATTGCAAAGAACAATTAGCGACGTGTGAATTAGCTTTCAATGCTCCGGAAACCACCAATTATTAGTTTAGCAATATAAACCACAAAAGGATCGCGTTTTACTAATGATCAATGCAGAAAATTGACACGGTTTGCAATAGAAAAATCAGAAAAATTGAAGTCTAGATGGATTAAATCATTCAAGATAAATAACTCGAGAAGGAGCTATGTGCATGATCAATTTCCCGAATTTTGAGCTTCTGCCCGACGAATATAAGTTTCAAAGTGCACAAGATTTTAAGACTGTATGAGATTATCTAGAGATTATATCCTATAACTGTCAGCAAACCTCCACTTTTCGTGTGAAAGAAACTCCTTTAGTTGAAATACGGTTTTGTGCTGCTTCAGCTTTAAAAACCGCAGTGAAAAAACATCCGCTTTCAGTAACGTCAGACGTTTGCACCTCTGGTCAAATTACCGACAATGCGTTGAAAATTCCGCCCTTTTCTAGAGTTTTCTTTTGTCTGTTCCATAAAAAAATAAATTAACAAAATAGATTGCCAACAAATATTACGGCTAAGAATTGAAAACCACATACTGATGATGTTTAGGTTTTTAATATCTCTACATTCGCCATCTGTAGGTTACCTATCTTTCAATCAGCTTAAGTTTAGGGATGAATGTGTAACATTCGCTGGTTTTCTGAGGAAGGATCACCATGTTTTCTGCCCATTATTCCTAAATCTTTCAAGATTACTGTATTTGTATTACTGGTGTAAGCTCTGCATTTGCGTTGCTATGCTATGTGTCTCGAGGACCATTCACTTTGCCTTCGACGAGTAATTGTGAGTTTTATAATCTCATGATAATTGGCCTATATCATAAGTAGAGATCCAAGTTCAAACTATTTTTCATCTCTGCTCAATAGCTAATATAACAGATCGTAGCAAAACGTTATTTACCGATTTTTTTGGTACAAATCAGTCGCTTAAGATTAGTGGGACCAGAAACTCAGCCGTAGATTTTCTTGAGGTTTATAGCACGAGTTCGTTCAGTAATTCCTATCAATTTCTTGCTAAGTTTAGTAAATTTACTACAAGAACTATGGGAGAACTGTCAAAATTAGAGAGATATTGGGGATGAGGGAGGAAAAGTTTTTAACCAAAAAAATTCGTAAAATCTAATTAAATGATAATGAGAATCATGATGTTGAAAATTCCATTAACACTGCTTGTCATGAACCTAATATATCTATAAATGACTGTGAGTATATGAAAATCACTTATTCATCACTTCACGGGTTTATTAGGAACCATGATGATGACCAGCTTCCAGTTGGCTTGTTAACTCAGTTGGTAGAGCACTGCGCCGGTATTGCAAAGGTTATGGGTGCCAATCCCGAACAGGCTTGATTTCTTTCCAGGTCTCATTTTCACTACTGCTTAAACAGTGTTCATTATTGCGAAGATCGCTTTTATATCCATAAATGGATGTCAAAGGGCGTAGGTTATTTGATCATAAAACAGATCACTGGTTTGCTTGATAATAAAGCTCGCAACTTTTTAACTTAATGTTACCTAAACGGCTAAGATAGAAATTCATCCTGAAATTTTTTTTGTAAGAAATTGTGCAGCTTGAATTTATGCGTGTTTTCAATGCACTGGAGTCTATGTCTATGATATATTGGTGCTGTTATTATACTATATTCATCCATGTGTTTTCACGATGACTAGACAGTTATTCGCTGTTATCTCCCACTCATCAAAACGTCTTTTTTCCTTGGTAACATCACGGTACAAAAAGCGAACCCAGCAGATGGAGTGATCATGAGATTGAAATTATCTTTGTAAGCAACTTTTTATCGGCTAAAAATAGTTGTTGCAACAAAACTAAAACTCTGGCAAAATTTTGAATATCATTAACATTTAAGCCGGACAAAGAAAGAACATAGAGATAGAGAAGGAATAAAATAATAGAACATTCTTCTTAGAGCAAAGAATGAGTTTTTGCAGATTTTTTCAAACTTCCATCCTGTTTGCATTCAATCGGCGTATGAATGACAACTCAAAATGTTAAGCTAAGCACTCTCTTTATTTCAGCCCGTAATATAAGCGGATACAATATGCTAAATATTCAAGAAAACCCGTTAATAATCTTAGCGATGACAACAAAAGAGGCACACTCAGATGATTAATATTCGCCTCAAGTAATAGCACAACTCCACTACACGACATCAATACATTTTTAAAGCTCTTTTTTTTCTGTGGGTCATGTAGTAAAACTCTACGAAAAAGCTACCTAAGTGATGGTGGCAAACACATTTATGCCTGCCCTATTTTCATCGTCTGACCATCAGTCTGATTAAGAAAAGCACACGCACAATAAAAATACATCGGGCTGTAACACACCATGCCTTTTGCTCTAAAGCAGAATTGTAGCTTTGAGAGAAACATCTAAATTGTGTGTACAACTGGAAAAGAAAAAAGTGAAAAATGTAACCCACCAGCAGCCACAAGTGCAAGTTATATTACCAATGGGAAACAAGCAATCAGTATTCCCTGTGGGTCTCCAACACGATGAGAGGACCTGGAATGCTCGTAATTTAAGGAAGGATGAAGGTGTAGATTTTTGCATCACTGGGAGTATCCCAGCAGAAACACTAAGATAGTTAATTGTCGATGTACCTGTTCTAGATTTCTTCGGAAGGCATTAAACAAACCTGTCGCGCTGTTTTTGTAGTCTCAATCAATAAGAAAAAACATTGCTATGAGATTGCTTCGATTTTTAATTGATATCTTTTAGGGCCAAAAAAACCTGATGCACTAGCTATATCCAGATCAGTCCCCTTTTTGGAGGTGAAATTAACATTTTCCCACGAGCATTCCAATCCTTAATATACCTCCAAGATGAGAGAGACCCTCAGGAAACACTCCATTCTTCGTATCAAGCTCTCTCAGAAGTAACGGCGTCAGGAGCACGCGGTTTCATAATGATCGGCTTGTACCCCATCTCGTTCAGTTCGTCATCCTGAACGAAACCCAAGTTGTTGTTGTTGTCTTCCTTGACGTGATTGCCACACTGTTCCATGGCGTAGACTTTGTTGCGATCTGCGAAGGCTCCTTTGAGACGCTTCTTGATTCGAATAACGACGATGGTGAGAATGATAACAAGAAGGAGGCAAAATCCGCCGGATGCCGCCACTACTGTGATGATCTCCATGTTGGTTTGAGTTTCAGCTAAAAGGATGAAAAAAAAATTGAAAGCGATTTGGCTCAGGTACAGTAACTTTACGGTTACTTCAGTAAATCATGTAAGGATCTAGTACATTTAGTTGACGTTTGTTTGGTGTTTGGTAACTTGTATTGAGTTGGGAAAGTATGGCAATTCTTTCGTGCTGATTCTATGGTCAATCTATGATGAACTATCATAAAGAGTCAAGTAGGCGTTTGAAATATCTATCAGGCATCTACCCTTTCCACATGAGTATTTAGTAAATCGTTACCCACGACTCTCCACTGCCCACTCACCTTCTGTCGTGTCCGTTGCACTCGCCCCGTTCTGGTATTTGATTGGTCCTGACGACATTTCGTACACTTGAGTACTCTCAGAACCAGGCACCTCGTCTCTCCGTCCTCGATAGCGGGAGCATCCCTGGAGGCAGCGAGACCGGGCAGTGTTGCGATGGCAAGCCAGGACTTCACAGTGAAGATGCACTACTGGATGGTCTTCAATAAAACGAAACGCTTGGATGCTAAAACGCTGTTTGGAGCTGATGGAGTACGAATAATTGAGGGTAGAATCCAGCTTACATCTGCAGCCAAGCAAAGAGAATTATAATAATAAATTTGTAGATGAGCTAATACGAAAACCACCAGGAAATAAACTTTAGCACCTTGAAATACTAACTCGAACGAAAACGAAAATCATAATTTAGAGAGTTTTTCACGGATTATTATTATCTACTCAAATATTCGCTATCAGTTTGCACGTTTTTGTTCAGTAAAATGGATTTCACAAAAATTTGATTCTATTTTGTACCCTGGTTAAAATTATTTACGCCTGGAATAAGTCGGATTAAACCGAGGCTTGGTGTAATCCAAAACGTTCATTAAGGGATAAACCGTATAAACCGCAAATTTTTATGGAAAACATTTTCCAGGAATCGTTTTACAGAGCAAGACATATTTACCCTCTCTGTAAGAAGACATACTGAGGAACTGAGTACGGATCAGGAGTGGGAGTCGCCTTGCAGGTGTCGACAAAGAGAACCAGGTTAGATTGGTGTGACTGGACCGCTAGCTGAAGAAACAACTGATCCCGAAGATTAACAGTGATTGGATAGTCATTATAGCTGAACGGTGTAAGATATCTGCCCGTCTTGAATAGATCCATAGTGAAGGTAAAGTTGCCATATCCACCTATGAAAAGAAAGTAAAATTGCTGGCTGTTCTTTAAGATCTGTAAATGTCATGGATCACCCAGCCCTGGTGGTTGTAGGGAACAATGATAGCATCGACAGAAAGTCAAATTGAACTTGACCAAAAACGAAAGTCTCATTGAGTTCTAGAAAAGGTCGTAAAATCGCACCACAGTGTCAGGTGACAGCTAAAGGAGTACCATCGATTTGGCAAGGAGACGAGCTGAAGGGTTTTTTTTTTTTCAAAAAAGGTTTATTCAATGAATGTTTTCCCTTGAAGGATATAAATTCATTGAACTGTACAATGACTCTTGTAGTAATGAAGTCAATGTTATATCTTAAAACAGATGTAATTAAATGAGCATTTCCTTGTAAAAGGTTACCTTCCGAAGCTGTGAAATGGTTCTTCCAGGTTTTGAAACTTGGATTTCGTAGCAGGGCCTTACGTCCATAACTGCAGTAGAAAGGAATTGACACATTTTGCTCCCGAGTGATGATGTTGCCGGAGTAGGACTGGACACTTCGCACTTTGTTGTAGAAAGTTATCGCGTCCTCGCTTTCGTTATGAGTGGTTCCACAGTCATTGAGACTCGTACGCAAGGAAATGTGGGAATCGTTGTAGGACGCGCGGCATGACGGGTAAAGAAGTGTCAGTTTTTTTGGATCAAAGCCTTGGAAAGTTTTTCTCTCCAGAAAGATAAACATGGCTTCATCTGTACATTTCACTGTAATACCAGGTTCTGAAAAGACCGAAAAACATTGGTTCACAATTGAAGTTTCTGCCTGTGAAATCCTTTAACAATGTATTTTACTCATCCGTTATACTTATCTCCCTATTAGTTTCAACAGATATAAAAGAATCTTGTTGAAAAACTGTTCTGTACCAAATGTTTATGCATTAACACGTAGCACAGCATTGTAGAGGGTCGCGCAGTCAGCTGTGAGAGCATAGTTGGCACACAATTTAGAACAATTTACTTACCATGGCAAGTCTTGTTATCAAAGCCCATTGTTACACCCTCAGGACATTTGCAATAGTGACCTCCTGGGATATTCACACACTGGTGGGTGCAGCCGCCATTTTGAGTTAGGCATTCGTTTATATCTATCAGGAATTACAAACATAAAATATTGTGAGATTCCTAAGAAACATGGTGAGCTAATTAATTGAACTCTGAACAATTTACCAAATTAAAAACGGCGTATTCTGGAAAATTCCAAGAATCTCCTTTTATTTTTGGATATGATTGAAGTTGAATAGATTCCTGCAATGGATCATTTCTGTGCGAATAATCATGTGAGCTTCATAATTTCTCTCTAATCTCTAATGGAACAATTTAACTGCAATTGTATTAAAGAATAGCAAGCCTTTCATGCTAAAGATGATTTAGTTTTTGTACAGCTAGTTCACTGCTTGAAATTCTCGCGGCATTTTCTTTTAGCAAGGTGCACTTGTGAATTGATTTTACGACGCTTAAATTACGCCGTTTTTGCGAAATTATTTCGCGTTTTGGCGTAAGATACAGCTTATTTCCGTCTAAAAGTACCCTTTAATCGAATAAAAGCGACGTCAGAGGTACAATAACGTCAAGGAAAGAATCTAAAAATAACGTCACCGTATTTGCCCACTTCCCCCATTCCTTCTTGATGCCTTACGATGCAGTGTGTGCGAGTCTTATAATCTTGGCGTAATGTTAGGTACAAACTGCCACAAACATTGTTCACGTAATGATGTTTATGCAGTAAGCTGTGACCATGGAATCAAGTCTTGTTTGTTTTACTCTGTTCGGCATAACTGAGACTATCGGTGGATATTGAAGGACAATGGAGTAGTCCGTGATCCGTATACTTACCCTGACATGTTTTCCCATCCGCCTCTAATCTGTATCCTTGACGGCAAGTGCAGTAATAACTTCCCCATGTGTTAACACAGTCATGTTGGCAATTAGCGGGTAGGTGTAGCACAAATGGTGTACTGGACGCAACAGGCATTACTGTAGCAACCGTTGCTTTTATGTTCAACGAGTCTGAGAGAGGGAGAGAGAAAAGCAGAAGGTGTTGAAAAAAGTTTTTTTATACGCCTTAACCAGCCTCTTCTATTGGTTCTGGCAAGTTTGTCACTTCAACTTATAGTGTGTTCATTATGCTGGACTCGCAGAAACTGATCAATTACGATTCCTGTGTTTCGCCTCCGACTCTGGATTGAAATTTGACGGAACAATTTAGACACTCACTAGCACTTGTGTGTGAAGATGTCATCACGTTAGGAGAAGTACGCATCACTGGAGTTGACGGGACGCTACGTTCTGAAGCAAAAGCAATAATTGAATAATGTTAAAATTACGTCATAAGCAAATCATCATCTCTGCAGTAGCTAAATTCGCTTTTTTCGTGGCCAGCTTAAATTTGGTTTGATGTTGGTATACACTTTATTTTATCTCTCTCTTTCTTGTTTTCTTTTCTAACTTATAGAGTTTCCATTTTGCTGGACTTGCAGAAACTGATCAATTACGACTTTCCTGTGTTTTGCCTCCGACTCTGGATTGAAATTTGACTGAACAATTTAGACACTCACTTGCACTTGTGTGTGAAGATGTTGCCACGCTAGAAGAAGTACGCATCACTAGAAGTGACTGGACGTTACTTCCTGAAGTAACTGCAATAATTGAATAATATCAAAATTGCGTCATAAACGAATCACCATCTCTGCAACAGCTGAATTCACTTTTTTCGTGGCCAGCTTAAATTTGGTTTGATGTTTGTATACATTTTATTTTATCTCTCTCTTTCCTGTTTTCACTTCCTACTTTGTTTACATTGAGGAAAACAAAAACATTTTCTTCAGTCTTTTCTTTCACCCGGTCTAACACCTCTTAATAGTGTTTCCCCACAACTTAAAAAAACCTCTTGTTATTGGTTTTTTACTTGAGTAGTTTTAAAGAAAAAAAATGGTCGGAAAACTTCCCAAAAACACACTAAGCAACCATGTAAAAAAGATCTGAAAAACTAGGAATCGATGACTTAAGCAGATGATTGAGTAAGCAAATGTAATAATTTGTTACCTCCGCAGTAACGCAGATGACAAGCCGGTGGTCGTCTTAGTTCGTAGACATAAAATCCACCACAGTTGCGCACGCGGATGATCGTGGACCACCGACAACATTGCGACCCCCAGTGGAAGCACACCAACGCACGGATAATCCCGTCAGCTACGGAAGGGTGCGCACCTCTCAGCCAGCCAGGCGCATGCGTTCCACAATGGTACTTTCCCACACAGTAGGTGGACATTTGAGTTCCTGCTGCACCGCGAAATCTGTACCAGCCATGGGCAAGGCCGCTGTCGCATGTGACATTCCCGACATAGTTAACTGATCTTCCAAAATCCTCCAAAAAGTAGTGACTCGTGCACTCTGAAATAAACATAAAGATAAATGGAGATTCTCTCTGCATTCTTAATTGCTTCTTGTTTTGAAAAAAAATTATAATAAGCGATTCGGTTGAATTTTTTCAATGACTGTTAAACGCGAATAAAAATTCAAGCGCAAGTGGGAACAGAAAGAAATGCTAGAAAAATAAAAATTAATAACCAGAATGGGCATAAGCAAAAAATGCGTTGAAAACGAGTAAAGTTTGTAAGACCGAAGACCTCTTGGTACTATAGATACGTAGAAACTCTTTTTTTTGATGGGAAGTCACGTTACTCTTAAGAGACAAATTTTACAAATTATTCTTTAACAATGACTAATATTTCTAACCAAAGAAAAGAAGCCAAAAATATAAAGCAACACATGCTCTCAAATCAAGGCTTTCAAATATCATTCGTTACAATATCCACCCAGCATTAGGGGTAATAGAAATATCAAAAATTATACCATTGGCGGACACGGTCCATGGAATATGACCAGACGACCTGGTTGGAGATATCGCTATAGAACATAGACAAGCACATCATATTTAGTAACTATTCTTTACGTACATCAAATCTGAGATTATTGACAATTGAACATTACGCTGAGTTCATTTCATCAGCAAATTTGGTTGTAGTTTTTTATCTTAAGGTGTGGGAATGTTTTCTACCGTTTGGCCGGATCAAACATACGAACTATTTTGTATTCCCGTGTTAAGAGATTATGAGATCCCGAAATATTTGATCTCCAATCTTAAAAATGTTTCTTTGGCACCTTCATCTCAATATGATTAAAAAAGAAAAGGAAGCTGAATCGAAAACATGAAAAATGTGAGTTTAAAAGTGTTAATAAACTAAGAAAAGTTGCTCCTTTCTCGTTCCCTCACAATACATCTTAAATACTTAGTTCTCACTTTTAAGCTTCATATATATTTTAACAAATAGCAATATTACAATTGACTGAAATTACTAACCACGTGTGGGCGGTGGAGAGGATATGAGGCTGCTTCCATAACACGATCCAAGAACAGTTGAAGCATAGACTTGGTGAACGTTGGAAACTAATTTTTTAGGGAAGAGTAAATGATTTATTATAACTCGTAATCTATCAAGGAGGGACATGGTGATTTTGAGAAGGTTCGCGAGTTTTTCAGCTGTACGTTTTGGGTGAGGTCCTTGGGAAAAAGTCTCTGAAAGTATGACGAGATTTAAGGGTGTGGTGGTGGGGGTCGGGAAGGGGGGTTAGCCATTACATCATTTTATCCAATTTATGAATAGGTGCCCAATGTGTCACAAAAACATCGATCAGACAATCAGCCATCTCAATATTTATCAACCATTCGACATCGTACGAGACCGAATTTCAGGCTTATTGCAGTACATTATATAATTATTCAATAACAGTTGAATAAATGGTGACACACGTACATCTTTGCGTAACACTTAATATTTTCTTTCTTGCAGTTTTCTTTTCATATCGACTAAAATAAATTAAGTGGATAGACATTGGTTTCTGCTAAAAAAATATGTTTTAACAAATGCGAAGGGATAGGTAGTCACAAAAGTTTCTTTACCACGTGGTACAACCCGGTAAGTAGCTGAAAAGCCTGAATGCGTAACACTCCCGTCTGAAGTGAACTTCACAAAAAGAAACCTTCCACTGCTACACACTTCCCAAGATGGCCGACGGTCGCTCTCCCTTTTAATTCTAGTACTGTATGCTGAGCTCCCATCAAATATTTCGACCCAGTCGTAGCCTCTCTCCAGATAAAATGATCCAAATTGTAGATATATGTAGTAGCCATATGGGGCCTCAATTAACCAGGTGCAATGCTGATTATTTGAGTAAGGGGAAGGATGGCCTGGACTTGTAAATTGACCATTTCGTTGGTTTAAGTAATATGAACAGGCACCTGGTAAAAAAAGAAAGGACATTATTCTTCTATACTACCCGAGGTTCAGATCTGATGTTAAATTAAGACGTCGCTGCAAATTAAAGAAAAGAGAGAACAGAGTTATAAAATAATGATAACTATTGACGGACTCTGATAGATGTAAGGGATATGACAATTTTTGGTTGAGGTAATGCGAACAGGCTCCTGCTAACAGGAGGCATAGATCAGATTGGAAGGTTCCTACCCTTAGGGTCTTGCCATCCACCACCGGTAATATGATAATTCATAGCAAAAAGAAGATAGTATATTACATTATACATTTATGCAAAGAGTTTGATTAAAAAAATTGAGATATATTAGATTAGGGAAGTCCTTGAGAAGTAATTTGCAGTCACATGAGTGGATCGGTTTAACTTCTCTCGGTTTACGTAGATTGAAGTTACTAGAAGCAGTGTTATCTCTCCTGAAAGATGTAACTGTAAATGTTCCCTCTGAACAGTATTTCGGAAGTTTCCCTGACAAAAACCCGAACACAACTATACCCCTTGATGGGAAAGGGTGTTGTGAATAAAGTGCCTCGCCCAGGCAAGATGGCATTATTTCCTTGGCCCAAGAGCACAGTATAATGATTGGGCAAGGAGTCGAACGCCGACCTCTTTCGAGATTCTTAAGTCTTGTGAACTAACAACCATGCCAACTTTTCAAGCCAAGAGCAAAAAGTTCTCTCCATAGACATTTCTCTTTTCAATTTTCTTTCATTTTGTATTTTTCTCTTAAAACTGAGTTCGACATAAAATTTATTCTTACCAGAAATCGACGAAGTAACAGCAACTGCAAAAGCTAAAGGGAAATAATAAGACAGTTTAATGCCACACACAAGTCTATGTAAGAGTTTGCCTCTTAGGGCCTGTTTACATTGAGGTGGGGGACCCCAGGTAGCTGAGATAACCCAGCACCCCGGGGTTGTAAGATGGTATGTAAACGCGTTTTATTTTTCGACCACGGCTAGGCGGGTTACCTCATCTACCTGGGGTCTCCCACCTCAATGTAAACTGGCCCTCAGGGTACGAATAATCCCTAAAAGCAACAATTACTGCTCCTTATTAATTACAACTGAACACCGCTGAATTACCTGGCGTCGGTGAAAAACTAGTAGTGGGTATACTTGATGCTATGGCTGTCAAATAAAATGAGAGAAACTCGTTAGTTTTCCTCCGAAAAAAGAACAACTGAGATGTATCGAATTACATGCGGTAAAACATATACCTACCTTGCGCAGAAGTGTAATAGTACCAATACCAAGGCCAAGGATTTCTTTTCTTGCGACTCAGAATGGACGGCGCCTTCGAACATTCATTTACGTCTAGTAAAAAAGTAACCTAAGCTAAAGTTTATCTTCTCACCTTGAAATTAGAACATAATAATTCTCACGACTTGTAACAAACTTAATTCTCGTAATCGTAGATAGTATGTAACAAACATATGACCTGGCGACCTTGTGAGACCCTTTTATCTTGATTGAGACTTCGTCTAGCAAGTTAGAGAAGACGTGACCTGCCAAGTAGCGTATCCTTAAGGTTTAAGTACTAGAATATTCACGAGGAATAAACGGCTTCACTACGGCACTAATCTCAAGGAGGCTTAACATGGGACCATAGGCATAAACGTTTAAGGTTCGATTTCTCATGGGGGAATTATTCTATTCTATGGAAGGCAACACTGATTCAACAAGGAGCAAGAGTGGTTAAAGATGGATACGATTCGAAAGGATCGCAAATAAGTAAGAGCATAGTGTACCCCTGTGGTACTCCACGCAAAACGCAATGTTCTTACCACTACACTGATTATTCTGACCCATGTAAGTGCCCTTAGAACAAACTCCAACATCAAATGGCCAGTCTTTCAACGAGCTGAAGCCTGGTGAGGGTGGACCATCCGATGTACAACCGAGGCCCACGACAACACCACGGTCCATGGTGATAGAATAATTTCCTCGCATGCTGAGAACAACTTGCGGCAGGCGGAATTTAAGGCTGAATTTATCAACGGTGACTTCACTCGAAGAGCGTGTGTCAAGTTTGTATATCACGTGATCTTCCAAGACGATCCTTATAAACTTGGAATGACGTGGTCTTTTGATCTGTGTTATGGAAACAAACTAGTTAGCCATTTGCTTAAGATAAGAGACTTTCGTGAAATTACGGTCATTGTTTTCGTTTTAGTTTGGAAATACTTAACGAAAAGATTCTTTGTTGCCAAGCGTCTGTTCAGTAATAGATTACAGACGACGTCACAATGTGGTAATAACATAAAGTGGTATTTGAGGCGCAGCCGAGTGTGTCACTGATGTTCCCACCACATTTTGACATCTCCTGTGATCGTTTATTGTACAAAACCATGGCAACCAAATCTTTTTGTTGACGTCATCTGTCCGGTTGTCCTCGAATAGATTATAAGTTAGGACCAACCAAAATACGTGTATAATTCAGCTCATTATATCAAGTACCTGTTGGTCAAACGTTATGTTAAAGTCCACAAATCCAAACCACCACGGCCATGACAAACGAGGAACCACAGGAACACGGGAGTACAATAACGGATTTGGAGTGTTGTCTGAAAAGTATCACATTAAAAGGACATACGAATCAGGCCTGCAGTGCACGAGAATTTTTCGCGTATGAATTCGAAATCAACTGTTTAATTTGAGATACGGAGTAACCAGCAGAATACTATTTAGAATGCAAGCTTACTTGATCCGACGATAATGGTGATACATCTTTGCTTGCTTTCAATTCTGAAATGCGAATTGTTGCACATAAATAAGATTACATCAAAGTAGACATTAAAGAAAATCATCGAGTCTTATTGAGCCAGCCCGGCAGTGGTGGATGCAGACCCTGAGCTAAGGGAGGGGCTCTATTTTTTGTAGTTTTCCATGCTGGCTTTTCTTCTTTCTGCGATTCTTTTTTTTTTAATTATTATTTTTAACCCAAAATAGGGGGGGGGGGGGGGGGGTCGGGTCCCCTGGGCTCCTCCCTTAGATCCACCACTGAGCCGTTATCCAGGAAACATGTGAGAAGTGAGAAAGACCTTGCGTAGTCTGCAAATATGCATTGGTACCTTCTTTAAAGGAAAGTGAAGGCGATTTTAATAATTTTGTTGAAGTGACCCACCCGAACTTGTCAACTGCCTTGAAACAAAAGATATGTCGTCCTTTCTGAGATAATCGCGGATTCCACGACACGTTCCTGTAGAATACTGTGTCCCCGATCGAATCAGTGTAATTCAGGAGGCCAGAAATAACCATATAAAGTGGTGTGACAGTGATAATCTCTGCAATGCTAAATTAGAGTAGAAAAAATAAAAATTAAAAAAAATGAAAAGGAACTAATCTTTCACTTTCTTCCTTACTGATCAGGACTACTGTGAATCTCGGGGCGGAAGGTGATTGACTTACTTCACAAAACATATGTTTGTGAGTTAGGCCGCCTTGTAAAGGGCTTGAACAATTTTGGACCCAAGATTTCAGATCATGATTTTCCATAACTTGTTTCAGACTGAAATGCATCCAAACGTGCTGGGTAAGTTGAGAATCTCTGTCTATTTCATCGCCTGCTTATAAGATACTGGCATTACTTTGACATACACAAAGTAGGAGCATTTTTGTCAAAAATGACCTCTGCTCTATCCTTGTCAGTTACAGAAAAAGTGATTGTTCTTATGCGTTTTGCAATATTTCAACAGAAGGATTCTCCTAAGTCTGATAAGCACATTTCTTTAATTGACCAATCAAGGCTTGCTTCAAAAAGTTAAATTGAAAAAAGCAGGTGTAGTTAATTAATTTTCAACTGAAAGTATCACTATCATATCCACCTGATTTAGCATGTTAAGAGTACAGCAGTAACACATACCTTCTGGAGGAGTCGATATGTTTTGCTTCAATAACGCTGTTGAATGTGTTTCCATTTGACACTTCCTCGCAAGATCCGTCGTTTGGACTTTGGCCTATTAAGACTGGAGCCCTATTACACGGCCCGGAAGATGGACTCACGTGTACAAGAAACTGCAGGCTAACGTGACTGTATGGAGTGGCGCTTTGGAAGTTGGTCGTTGAAGCTGGGTAGTCTTCTAAGGTAATAGCCACTGCATGCCAACCGAGAGCTATATTGCTATGGAGACTCAAAGTGCATTTCTCCTGTTTACATCAAATATAAAAAATAACTTTACAATAAGTAGAAAGATGCAATGCAACAAAACAATAATCTTTTTTTTTTTAGAAATTTCTACCAAAGAAATTGAAGATGTTTCTTTGTGTTGTGACGATCGTGTGACCAAGATAAAAATTCAATATAATTTTGAAGTTGATGATGCATTGGTTGTCTTGTGAGGATAAAGTTGATCCGTAGGAGTATTGCAGTCGAATTATCGGCTTCCAAAACTTTGTTATTCAAAACAACATCCAAACTTCCCTCCCGCAAAAGAACAGGAGTACAACAGAAACTTATTGAGCTCGGTATTGGTAAGATAAAAGCATAAAAAAAAGAGCAGAGGCAAAATATTTTTACGTAGTGCAATCGAAAAAGCTGAAAATTGTGGGCAAAGTTTTTAAAAAGGAAAAAGAAACTTTGATTGAAGTCAGTTTCCCTAACGTTCTTAACACATCAGCTTAACTTACTTCGTCTAAAGTGCCACCTTGAAAGCTATGACATACACCACCACACTCTCTTCGAGAGCCATTCGACCATCGACAGCGAACTTTATCACCATCCGAGTCCTCGGCGGGAATAGTAATTGTTTTTGGACAGCCTTGCTGGTGTCGAACGATGGGAGATATTGCTGAGATCGGAGATGAGTTGATTTTTCCGCTATCCTGCCGCCTTGTCAGGTTGACAGTGGTCGAGAGAAGCCAGTCTCCATTGCCTCCATTCGCTAATGAGATCCAACAGCAACTTGAATAACTGGATGCACCGAAACACTGTTAGATTTCATCTGTTAATTTCAGATACGATTACCTTTCATATTGACACTAATCGACTAACACTAAAAGCGAAGTTTAGATCCAGTAAGAGACTGTGAAATAACTAGGAAATAGAATTGATTTCAGCTATTGGCATCTTTAGAAATTTGTCACGAGTGATTCCCTTAAAGAAATTATACTATCCAGATTTTTTTTAAATATACACACATTATGGTTCTGTTTCGGAAATGGAAAATGAAAGTAGAGCATGAAAGCAACGTGCTCTTTTCCACTCTGCGTATATGCGTTTCTCGTTATTTGTTTATTTCTTGTCAATGATTTCCGCAGGAATTTAGGACGGGCTACCGTCATTATCTTATGCCACTGAGTTTTCGTTTCTCGCGTATTTAGAATTAAATGTGTATGGTTAAATATAGAGGAGTTGCTTAAACGACCGCGATAGCTCAAAATTCTTAATAATTAAAAGCCAATTTGCTTGACCCACCTTATCAGCCAGGGTCCTTCATTCCAGAAAGTATACTCAAAACTGTTCTCCCCTTGTGTCCAGTCCTCCTGAACACTGAAATCGGTGCAGTGATATCCCGTGCTTGCCACTGTAAAGCTTGAATAATATCCTTTGTCGTGACTTGCTCTCCAGCTGTCTCCACTTCCTACAATGCTTTGGCTCGCGACCATCGAGCTGTCGCAGTAATATGAATAGGAATAGGATCTTCGGAAACCCAGCCGAAAGTTAAAAAGCACCTGAAATAAGTTCAAACGTTCATCCATCATCCATACTGGACATGTTTCCATTTAAACGCCTTTCATTGGCTCTCTTACTGCAGCTTAAATAAGCCTAAAAGCGATAAGGTTCCAGTCCACGCAAACCTTGTAAACCTGATTACTAAATTAATTTGTAAAAGATGTAGATATGAGAACTGCTGGCTATAGAATAAACTAGGAATTTAAATACTGAGAAAAAGCGGCATGAGGCAAATTGCAATTTAAATAGGAGTCTTTTAACTTTTGGAAATTCAAACCAAGTAAGTTTCATCACTGTCAGCGTTTGAATGAATAACAAAAGTAATTGTGGCAATGCTAAATATCTTACAATAAGAAATATGATAGATTTTCAGCTCGGCAATGAAAAATAATTTATTTTTTCGTTTAGGGACAAAGAATCGACCCTCAGACCTCTAGAGCATCGGAACGGATCGGAGCGCGGAATCCGAAGCTCCGAGGTATGATTGCTCATGAGGACTCAGAATTTTCCCTTTTCTCCACGTACGTGACAAGACAAAAAACACCTATCTCTATAAATATATCAGCGTCTAAATAACGGCGCAAATAAGTCGAAGTAACGATATTGCAAATATAAGTTAATATCAGACGGGCAAAATTTAATTCAACGTTTATAGCTCTTAAAACGTTGGGTAAGGGGGAAGGTTATAAACACAGCTGCGCAGCCAGAAGCATTCAGAACTTTGAACAACGTTTTAATATTTCAAAGTTTAGTATCGTTTAGCAATTTAAAATTTGCATAGGTGAGTTTGCATAATAATATGGTCAGTAGCAACCAAAGTGACAGGTGTAATTAGTGAATTTTAAGGCCTTCAGATATCTTTCCACCCTTAATAAACAATGATATAACACAAACTCGTTTGTCGAATTCCGAGAAAACACAGAAGTTACACCCTGGGTTTAAAGAACTCTGTGTGGCCACGCATTTTTCTTAACCATTTACCTATTAACACTTTTTAGCAGATTAAGCAGACTGAAGGAACCAGCGAAGGAAAACTTTTCATCCATCTTACGATGAATACGATGGTAAAATATGAAATTTTTCGACAAATTCTATGCAATAACTTACTGCGCTAAGCAATGTTTGCTTTAACAAAGTACACAAATCATCAAACAGTTTTGCCACGGTTTTATCATCTAATCGAGTAATAAATGAGGCTTAAGTAATAAAAAGGAATTGCGATTTGTAACTGTCATCTTCGCATTTTGTCTACATAATTGTTAATACTTTAAGAAAATTTGAGATATAGCTCTTTCGTATTACATGCGTTACTCTACAATTACTGGCGCTATACATCTACAATCATGCGCTCGGCATTCTTTAAATTCTTGTGAAACTAGTTGTAATGTAGAGCAATGTTGGCGAAACTTTTAGACATAAAAGAAGAGTTAAATCTAGGGTGAATAATTACTTGAAAGCAAATATAGCTCCCCGTTATTCGTTATTTTCAAAGCGACGATTTTCCTTCCTAAAGTTTTGAAGAATGCTTCTTGATCGCAGGGAAAGAAAATCTTTAGTTCAAAGCTACTCAAAGCTCAAATTGAATCTATATGACATAGTTATTTCCCCCCACAAACTGTAGAGAAAAAACTGATACGAAGTGAGATTTCAAAGGAAAAATAATTCAAATGCAGGTTAGTCAGGATGAAATTAAATCATTTTTTAAAGTTCTTTAAACGTTGAGAAAAGAGGAAGGAATTAAAACTCTAGCGCAGCCGATAACATTCAGAACTGTTTTCAAAACAACGTTTGAATACTTCAAAATTTTCAGTCGCTTTTAGCGATAGAGATTGATAATGTTGCATTTGTGCAATAAATTTTAATAGGAACCAGAGTGACTAGTGTAATTAGCATATTTCAAAGCTTTAAGATACCTTTCCTTAATAAGTAAATCAAAGTCGTAAGGACATTTCCGAGAAAACCCGGAAGTTATTTCCGGAGTTTGAAGTAATCTGAGTGGTGAAGCCAATGCCTTAGCTATTCAAATACTAATGATTTTTAACAGATTTAGCAAACTAAAGGTACCAGCGTTTGCAATTTAATTAAATGTGATGAAAGATACGAAATGTCTATACAAATGCCATGCTATGACCTATTGGGCTTAACCTCGTTAGTGTCTCCTAGATACGAGTTTTGTCAATCAGTTAAATCGATAAATGTTTAATAGAAACCAGAGTGACTAGTGTAATTAAAATATTTCAAAGCCTTAAGATACCTTTCCGTAGTGAGCAAACGTTCAAGTACATCAAAGTCGTTGAGATATTTCCGAGAAAACCCGGAGGTCATTTCCGGAGTTTGAAGTAATCTGAATGGTGAAGCCAATGCCTTAGTAATTCAAATACTAATGATTTTTAACAGATTTAGCAAACTAAAGGTACCAGTGTTTGCAATTTAATTAAATGCGATGAAAGATATGAAATTTCTATACAAATGCCATGCAATGACCTATTGGGCTTAACCTCGTTAGCGTCTCCTAGATACGAGTCTTGTCAATCAGTTTGCCAGTGTTTTATCATCTAATCGACTAATCATACGCGCTTGATTAGAAAAATTTAGCGATTTTTGTTGCTGCAAACTTTGTATCCCGTCTACAAAATCGTTGATATTTTGTAGAATAACGATAAATTGCCCTTCCAAAATAATGCGCTAAGACGGCACACTATTTTCAATTCATCATGCGCTCCACATTCCTCAAATTCTTGCAAAACTAGTTAGCGAAACCATGAACTCCGAGGGGGAAGAAATATTTAGACAAATAAGTTGCACTAAATCTTTTAAATAGGCGAGCCTGAAAAGCGTAATCTTGCAAGGGCAAATTGTTCTAAGCTATTAGAACAAAATTATTATTCAAATTTTAGTCCATTAATGAAATGCGAACTGTACAACCCATTGAGCTACAGTAGAGAATAATCCTGTATATATCTATATACATAGTGATATCTTTTTGCTGACACGTATAATGTTTCTAGAATATCACCCAATACACCCTTGTAATTTTCCTTTCTCACCTTGTTCGAATTATTTCCACCTGGCTTCCAAGTGATGATCCCGCCGCGAAAATGCGACGCTGTCGTCTGACGTGAAAACGTCATTACGATAAGGCACAGAATCAAAGAAGAAAGCATTGTGCTAAATGATTCACCAGCAACCTACAGCTGCAACGAACTGGAGCGCTCTGCAGTTAGGCGTTAGCTGACATTGGGTTCTTGTTTGTTTGGTTGTTTATATTTTAACAGTCCGGGCCATAACCATTTCTGGATACTTGATGACGTCACCAATATGGATATCGTAGTGGGACCTCGAGGAAACTCAATCATTAGCAATTACACACAACAAGCAAAGAACTGATGGTGGTCGCGATGACGAGAAGGAAAAAATGCAGATGAAAAGTCGGGTGGAGGTCCATGTTGCGAAGGGCTCGATCGAGGAATAACCTCTCTTAAGTTGAGGTTTTCAGGTATGCAACTTTTTGCAGTTCTAAAAAAATCTTTTAAAAAACTAGAATAAATTTGGCAAATTTGCATAAAATTCCAATCGAGTGCACGAGGTCTTTGCTCGAGTGCACGAATGTTGAAAGTCTGTTAGTGTGCAAACTACTAGACGGATTCCTTTGTTCAGATCCATCGGAGTATCGTGTAAACCATAAATTTTAACAATACGTTGTGGCCGGCCAATTGAAAGTAAAAGGACAATTATTGGATATTTTATAAGCCTACATTTGAATTTCAGATGAAGCCTTTGGCATAGGTGAACACATTCAGTATATATCAGAATTTTCTCAATGTTGCTTGGCACAATCTGCCACGGACTTGGGTCAGTGCTA